CACCTTGATGGCCGTGCTGATGGCGCTATTGTCCACCAGCACCACGCCGTCCAGCAGCTCCCTGCACAGCCTGAACGGCTCCGCCCCCGGCAGCTTGATCGCAACGCCGTCCGCAAACGCGTCCACGCGCGACAGGGTGATGCGCTCCCCCCGGACCAGGGACTGAGTCATGGAGTTGGCGCCCGTGGGCTCGACCCCGATGACCTGCGTCGAGGGCTTGAGCGCCTTGACGATGGCCGCGATGCCGGCGATCATGCCGCCGCCGCCGATGGGGGCGAATATGTAGTCGACGTCCTCCATGTCGGTCTGGCGCAGGATCTCGTGCCTGGGGGGTTGGCGGTTTCAGAGGTTCAGGGCCACCCGAGCACGTGAACGCAAGTAATCAAGGACGGGGGTGCAGGGTGCCTTACAAGGCTGGGTGGAGGGACAGAGGTGTATGCAGGCGAGCTCAGCTGTGCCGTTTGGACCGGAGTGTTGGAGGGCATCACATGTCAGGGTAGAGGGATCGGCAGGACCGACAGGCGCCCTGGGCGCTCTGGCTGGACAAGACGTGCGTTGATGGGCGCACGGCTCACCCTATGGTGCCCTGACCAGCGATCGTGAAGGGGTCATCATACGCGGACACGAATGCAAAACCCTCTGCTTCAGATCGCGCCTGTGCACATGGGGTGAGAGAGCGGTTCAGGATCTCTACTGAGGCAGTCCAACTTTGCGCTGCTGTGATCCGCAGGCACACTGTGCTGGTGTTCTGTCCATGCCGCCCAGGGTTAACCTGCAATCAGCTTGTGTACGTGATCCCAGCACCGCCGCCCACGCGCCTGTGCCTGCACTTGAGCCTCGTAAAAGGACTCCCCAATCAGCTCCACCGTGCCGCCCAGCTCCCGGACGGCGTTGATCTTGATGTCTGGGCTGTTGGTGGGCATGCAGATAACCGCCTTGCAGCCCAGAGTTCTCGCTGCTAGCGCCACGCCCTGCGCTTGCGACGGCCGGCGAGGGGCAAGGGCGGTTTCAAGGGCTGTGCGCGCTACCCAATCGCCATGCGGCGCTGCACTGCCACCATCAAAGCTGTGGGGAGCGCAGCCATGCGGCTGCGCGTAAGCCCTGATTTCAAGCGTGGCTTTTGGTCAAGGGCACCAGGCGAGAGCGCCGCGCCCCGCCGCCACCCGCCTGTGCGTGGTTGCCTGCTGAGCTGCAAATAACGCCCTTCTCCAGCTGCTCAGGGGTGAGTCGGCTCATCTTGTTGTACGCGCCGCGCACTGGCCAACATCATGGGCAGACGGGGCACTTATTTGAACGCCTTTGGTGTCACAACACACAGTGCAGCAAGCGCGACGTCAGCCGCTGCGGCCACACAGGCGGCGCAAGAACAGCGTGCAGCACGTCCCATGATCAACTCCCCGCGCACCTTTGAACGACCGCACAGGCTGCATGACGGCAAGCCGCATTGGTGGAGAGCGCCCGAGGGCAGCGGCAGATGTCAGAGGAGCAGATTGCGGATGTGGGCGGCGGCGCCAGGGACTACTCCGTCAGCAGCAACGCAGCCATAGCCTGCCCTCGCCTGCCCGTCGCAGCGCTGCACGCCTCTAAAATTGTGTGTGCACAAAGACTGCCGAGGTGCCGCGCGCCTGCATGTCCTCGCGCTTGAGCAGGATTGTGCTGCCCAGAGCCTTGCTTAGCATGGGGGCGGCCTGCAGCGGCGTCTCCACGGCGATCCTGTAGACCCGGGCTGTAAGGATTTGCTTCAGGTAGCCATCGGGCTCTCGCCGCCATGCCAGCTCCGGCGCTACACAGCCGGCAGGGCCCTGCACGTGATCATGAGGCGGGCAGGAGGTACGCATGTGCGGCAATGGGGGCGGGCTGAAGGGTTCGGCAAAGACAATAAGTGGGTGTTGAGGGCTCGTCTCTTTCCACAGGGTCCCCTTGCTGCTGACATGATAGAACGTCATGTAGTGCATATGGGGAGGGTAGGGCGGCTGGAGGGAGGACCCCCACGTTCCATGGCGCTCATGATGGTCTCACCTGACATTCAAGCTTGGTGCATCCGATGCAACGGAAGACGTCCGCCGCGGAGGGTGGCCTGAGCACGTTGATGGGCAGCAGCTGGCCCGATGGGGCCTGCAAGCAGAACAATGGGGGGCGGCAGGGTCAATCACGCGCTGTCAGGCTGCTGCGGCTCAAGCGGCAAGTATGGCAGCTGCAGCCGCAAGATTCAAGCCCACCGCAGCCGCCTGCGCCCACCGTGAAGTCTTCGGGAGCAACGACCCGTGGGGTCGCCAATGGTCCGGCCGCAGCAGCTGCCACCCGGGCCCCCTTCCTGGCACGCGTGCTTTGCGGGCCGGTGCTGGTTCCAAATATACATGGGCCATAGCCCCAGTTGACGGCAGCCGGCGCATGGCGGCACTGGCTGGCTGGAACCCTATAGCAGCGCAGCGGTGAGTGGGAAGCGGCGCAGCTGGCGAGGGTTGGTGTGCCGGGCACCATCATAGCACATTCGCTCGGCGCTTGCTTGCGTATGCGATAAGAATTGAATGAAAGGTTCAATACAGTGTGTCACACGCAGATGATGCTTGCTGTACAGAGCTCGTGGTGCAGAACTTGCACACAATAGCATTATATATCAAAGCAGCATAATTAACGGAGAACATCATTCAGCGATCAAGTCAGTCCTGGGTCACGCACTTGTCGTGATCTGGGCAAATTTGATCCAGGCGCCAACGCGCCAGGACATGAATGAAGTTCAAAGGCACCTTCACGGACCGTGGAGCTCGCACTCTTGAAAAGGGTGGGCACGGTACACTTGGGGGGCTAGCGGGCAGCAATATGTGCCATGTCGCGCACAGCACGGCGCCACTGCGGGTGCGCTCAGCACCCCTCAGTCGCCCCCCTGCCCTCCGCTCGTTCCCTCAGCATTCCTGCCGACGATTGAAAAGTTTGGCAAAAGCTGCCAGCTGCTGATCACACCCGATCAGTTCTGCCTGGTGCAGACGGCGCTCAACACGGATGGCGCACTCGTGTGCGCCCGCATCAACACGGTCAGCGGGCTCGCAATCCACATGCGGATGCAACGGGGCATTAGCCGCCACACCAGGCAAATGCGCGTCTTATCCCCGTCTTGTGGGGCCCATACGCTTATGTAGCCTTGAGCATGCTCACCCACGCGCACCACAGCCGCCTCGTGTCCTCCCAACCTCCCTTGCCAACCCCGTGCCCAATGCCCGCTCTCATACACCCCTCCGTCATCTGCTGGATGCCTCTTGGCAATGGTCGAACCCTCAAAGGACGTGCTGTTCGAGCCGGGGACTTTCAATGTCCAGAGCCGCCACCACAACTTGATTGCTTTCTCCGTCGACGTGGGCTTGCTGCTGAAGGTGCTGCGAAGCGCGAGCGGCAATGACACAGAGCGCCTGGAGGTCAAGCTCGTGCAGAAGTCAGTGGCGATGCCGGGGCAGGAGGAGCCAGTGCAGATGCCATTTATGTCGTTCACGGCGCGGGTGGGCGGCTGGGCTGGGAGGCGTGTCGTCGGCGCGACGGGCTGGGGCGCAAGCTGCTCGTTGTGTGGAGGGTTGGGTCGAAGGCAGCATAAGGCAGGTGCTGCTTTACAGGATTGTGTCCATGGGCTGGCATATGCGCCTGCAATCCTCCAGGCACCCACTCGTCGCACTTCTTGCATTCCTTGCATCCAAGCCCTGCAATCCCCGTCATCGCTCAACCTCTCCCCAACCGTCTGTGCTTCCGGCCATTCCCTCAGGGCACCAGCGTGTGCATCGTGCAGGACCTGCCGATCAGCAAACCCTTCACGCCCTCGGAGATAGACCGCGTCGCGGCCGCCAAGTCGGTCACGCAGTATGCGCCCGTGTACCTGGACCTCAGCTCGGGCGGGCCGCGGCTGCAGGCGGTGATCGAGCGGCTCAAGAGCATAGGGCCCGTGCTGCGCCTGGGGATTTGCAAGGTGGGCGGACATGCGCAATTGCGGGGCCCTGGTTTGGGTTGCATGGCAGCATGGCCTGGGCTGCATGCAGGATGGGGCAGCGCATGTGTAGTGCGCCGTCTGGGCGTGCAGGGAGTCGTGGGGTCTGAAACGCATCCACAATCGGATTTAGGCCCCATGCCCAGGTCGATAGTACGCAAGTACTTTGACTCAAAATGCACTGTTCTACCGCCCTCTCAACAATGATGGACCTCATGCGTAGCGCCCTGTTGCCTAACCTGCTGCCCAACCCACAGAATGGAGACCTGCACATCCAGGTGTCTGCAACCAATGTGATGCTGGGAGCACAGCTGCAGGGCCTATCAGTCATGCCGCCAGGTGGGTTTTGTGGGGCTGAGCGTCCGCAGCCATCCTAGCAGGCAGCCCGAGCCGCGAGCCATCATGCAAAACGCAGGCGGCTGCATGGCCCACGGGATGGCCGAACGGGGACGTCCCCAAGCCCGCTGTGCACATGCACACGCCCACGCGCGCTCAAAGCGCACACACTCACTCACACACACTCACAATTGTGCGGCTGCTGCATGCCTTGTCACGGGCCTCCTGTTACTGGATAAAGTCTTTAATGATGTCTCCTGCACGAATGCGTGTTGCCGCCATCCACCCGTGCAGGTACCACCTTCGACCCCGCCGTAGTGGATCGTGCTGCAACCGCTGAGGAGCAGTTGCAGGCGGCGCTCGACGCGGGCGAGGCCACCTCAGTGGTGAGCAGCGAGGCTGCCTGGTGTCTTGTGCGCTGCTGGGGGTGTGCTATCGTGGGCTGGCTGGTGACCGCCCATCTTATATCTACAAGTGTGTGCTTGCAAGCTCGGAAAAGCTCTGTCTACACGTGATCAAAGACTGCAGTCTGCTACTGTCGCGCTGCCCCTCGCTCACAGCACTTGCAGGTGAAGCACATTGCCAAGGTGCTGGGTGTCAGCCAACTCTCTACCCCACACCAGATTCTCTGCGGTGAGGAACCCGCTTGGAGGGGGAAGCAGCTCGGACGCCTGGACACGTGCAGGCTTTTGTGTGTAATGACATTCTACCGGCCATTCAGCCCACTCTCGGCGTCAGCTGCATATTGGCGCACTTCACACACTCTCATTTCAACCGGTCTCTCGCATGGGCATGCATGCCATCACGCCCCGTTCAACTCTACCCCACCCCACCTCTGGTGCCATCTCAGGTATCTCCTCAAACAAGGGCCACGTGCACGTCATGTTCATCTTCAGAGACCCCACCACCACTGCCGCCTTTGACGACAGCCTGGAGCTGGGCTTCAAGCTGCCGATAAGGGCGGACGAGGACGAGGACGAGGAGTAGCGCGTGGGTCTGCCCTGCCTCAAACGACATGATTTGCGATAGGCTTCCATCCATTACCTTCGGAAGCCACCCTTTGAGGCTGGCTTGCAGCAATGCTCCTGGCCGCCGGCAGAAGCTGCCGCTGAGCCGCCCTTTGCTGGTGCCAGACCCAGTATTCAGCCGCGGTCTAGTGTGCTGCCCGCCTGTTATGGAGCGCTCTCCTGTGCATGAGCGCGTTTGTAGCCCAACATGTCGACGGACAGTGCTCAAGCGGGCCTGATCTCGGCGTGGAGCGAGCATCTGTATGCGCTCGCCACGCCTGATGGACGCGTTAAGACCTTCGACACCGGTAATAATCTTTCTGTCCGGGCTGGTTCATCCTGGCGGCCAACAGATCGTTTTACTGACTGCGCCCCCCTTGCATCGCAGTGACGGGCCGTTTGAGGAGCAGCCTCTCGCAAACAGCGGCCTCTGGTGCCATACAGACCGGGAGCCTGCCGAACGGTCACCTGGCCGACGGGGTGCAGTGCTTGGCGTGGCTCGACGGCAGCGAGGTGAGGCAACAATGGTCGCTCGTCCTCGTGGATAGTTTGACCGATCGCGCTAGTATGCTGCGCGGCGCGAAGGCCGACATCGCCGCCGTCCAAGCCGCCGCCTGTCGGCCGCTGCCGCCGTCGCTGCCGCCACGCTCCTGCCCCTGTTGCTGTTACCTTGCGCAGGCCAAGGCACGCAGCAGCAATCCCACCTCCACCAGTGGCCTGACGGTTGGCACGGCAGCGGGTGTGGTGCGGGCATATGACACAGCAACAGGGACCGTACGGTGGCAAGCGCAGGGTTGCAATGACGGGTGAGTTGCCGCTGAACCCGACTTTTTTGCCCAGCCACGTCAGTAACGGCATCGCATGTGACACCGGGACCCAGGCAACCAACTTCATTGGTCTTGTGGGTGGCGCTGCTGCTTTGCCGCCCTGACCTGGGTGCCCTTGGAGCCCGACTGTCAGCCTGTGCTTCCCTGCTTCCTAATTTTCATTGTGCATGTCACCCTGTTCCCCCTCCCCACCAATAGGGGCGTCACGTGCCTGGCGTTTGCCGGCAGTAATGGCCTGCTCTGCAGCGGACGGGACGGGCAGGTCTGCTGCCTCGACCCGGGCAGCGGCTCGGTCAAGCGGCGGTTCAGGGGCAGCAAGCACCCAGTCAGCGGCGCTGCGGCCTCCGCTGGTGAGTGCTCGGCCTGTCCGGCCATGCAGATCGCGCTTCGGCTGGGCTGCATCGTGCACGCTTCGTGCAAAAACCCTCTGCTTTGTGAGTATGTCACATTCTCGAAACCCTCCCTTGCCCCAGACGGCTCCAAGCTGCTGCTTGGCAGTTCGACGCTTGCGCTGTGGGATGTGGCGGAGGAGACGCGCATAGCCAAGTTTACAGGGCATACGGTGCGGAGCGCGCGGGCTTAGGGGCCACGCCGCTCACGTGGTGCCAGTGATACTCACCACTCCTGTGCATACGACGCATATGTGCGCGACGCTGAGCAGGCAAGCTGCGCAGCAGTCACCCTCCTCACACCGGCCTTTCCACTTGTCCTCCCTGATAATCGCAGACTTCTGTGCGTGCCATCGCCTTTGCACCCAGCGGTCGACACGCCGTGTCTGCTGCCCCCTCTGAGCGTAGCATTGCGGTTTGGAACACCAGCGGCAGCAAGAAGGCCAAAAAGCTTGGCGGGGTGGCAGTAGCTAGCCTGGAAGTTGACCAGCCGGCTGTTTCTGTGTGCACCTGCTCAGCGCTTGGCGCTGACGCCGACGGCAGCTTCTACACGGCCGCCGTGACCGAGGGCGGCGAGGCGTTTGTCTGGCTGTGTGCGCCGGAGGGGGAGGCAGCGGTGGTGGGGGCGCTCGCGGCGCGGGTGCGGGTCAGTGGCGGCAGCGGCAGCAGCGGGGACGGCATATTGTCGGCCACCCTGGAGGCAGCGGATGATGGTAGGTATAGGCTGCCCCCTTTTTAGGGCCATTTTTACGGGAGGGCCTCCGCAGGCTGCAAACATTCGTGCACGGTTTTGAAACTGTCATTCTGCTATAGTTTGCTTGACTGTCCGCGCTGTTCTCTTTTCCCTCTTGGGTATCAACCGTACCCCTGGGGACGTATATCAGCGCCACATCAGCCTGCGGCCCTCTGCTCTCTGCGGCGGCCCCTGCGCCCTGCCGGGTTTCAAGGGCCGTGCTCATCTCAAACATAGACCCCCCTCAGTCACAACCAGTCAGTTGACCCTGTGACAGTGCCCCTCCAGAACCCTGACGCCTGCCCTGCCCCTTGCCTGCCTATGCCCCGCCCCCTGCAATTGCTTTTCAGGTGTCACGCTCGTGGTGGTGCGCGGCAACAGCGCAAAGCCCACTTTTGAGCGGGTCCCCATCCGCGCGCCGCAGCCCGGCGCCGCGCAGCCGCCGCCGCCCATCGCCCTCGCGCCCCTGGCCGGCGGCCTCCTCCTCCGCGGCGCCGGCGACAAGCAGCAGCAGCAGCAGGCGGCCGCCGCGGCCGCGCAGAAGGCCGCGGGGCGCGCG